CTTAATACCCTGGAAAATTTTACGTGCTCTGTACATACTAGTGGAATAATAACCAGCCTAGCAAGTGTAATTTCTTAACTTCTGTTCAAGTGATTATATTGAGACTAACCCCTAAGTTTTCACCGAGCCAACCAAAAAATTGTTTTTTGGAAGATTAAAAGAAGTTTTTAGCTTGGGTTCTGGAATTAAGATCAGAATATCAGTTTTGCCGCTGAAAGAGTTCAGCCGCACAAATTTTTCGAGGAATAAATTTTTAGGAATTGTTCCATTCGTGTCGAGTAGTTCGCCAACCGTTTGTATTTAAGAATTAATTTGGTCAAAACAGGAGCTAGAAAGAGAGAATCAGGCGATATTAACTGATAATTTCGTTGAGCAACGGCTTGAGGAGGATCCAAGTGGTTAGGAAAACTCTATAAATATATATTACACTTCTTTACATAACTAACACGACGTGAAGACAAACTCTATAAATATGCTTACGAAAAAGCATTCTGTATTTCAATGCTACAACATCAAATCACGAGTGACTCAAATATTTTGTATAAATACTTAACTCAGATGGTGCAGTTCTACTTTTGTGTTTTATCGCAGACAGCAAAACGTATACTTGTACCATGGACCTGCTTGTAAACTCCATCTAATTTAATGCCACTCCGCTTACAAGCTATCTTACAATCATTACAAACTTTTACAAGAATCAATGAGCACAGGGCAGATATCGCTATCTCTTGATAGGTAGCGATTTACCAGATATCTCTGACTTTGCTTTCATCTAAGGTTAATGGACTCTACTGCTGCAAATAGCATGCACTCTAACATCAGCAGAGATGAGGGATTAGTCCATAGTCCTACGTAAGAGAGGTAAATCAATCTAGTTTTTTTCAGTTCTACGATATAAGGCAGTATAGCAGCCTTCCTTTATGGGGAGTCACGATACAGGGTAATTGCAAGTTAAGTTCATATGTCGGGGTCAAGGTCCATGAAGCCCATTATAGTTTATTGTAATTAGAGCCTGCGCAAAGAAGAAGCTCCCCAAGATAAAAAAAACAAACATCCTTTTCAATGCAACTGTGCTTTCAAAACTTTCTTTTTATCTATGAAGCTAGTATTTCTGACCTTACTATATTTTTTTTGAAAAAGATTTTACAAGAACGGCGACACATCAATTAGTTGTGATATTTACGAAATTTAAGTCAATAGAGACTGCTGTCTTTTTAAATGACTTAAAACATGAAGACCATCCGTTACATAGTTATCATACCAGAGATAAAGAATCACCTGTGCGCCTCAGAAACAGACTTTGATGAAGACCAAATTTAAATACAATACGCTGTTGTTGTTGTTTTTTTAAAAAGATTTACTTTTAGGAATAATATAGATAAAAGGATGAAATCCTAAATCGGTCCTTTACTGCATTTATATCCAGTATGTAACATCTTGATTTGCATTTTTATCACGACGAATAAAGACATTATCATTATTGTTATTATTATTATCATTACTATTATCGATATTATCATTATTACTACAACTATCACTTTGCAAAAGGGGCTTGTACGTGCAACTTCTTCAAATAAAATCATGCTGGTCGAAGTTTGATCTCAGTGTGTTTTAACGAATAATCTTGTCCTCGAAATGGTGCCCAGGTAATTCCTTGTGCGTGACTTCCACCTTGGTACAAACCATTTGGATTTGCGTTATGGCAGGCACTATACCACCAGCCACCTCTATAGGCTAACGCACAGTTTTTTCCGCTATCATCGTCGTTGTCTCTGTCCCTGGTTGTGAAGCTCATATTTCTATGACGAAAAAAGAATTTTGTAAGAAACTGACGAGAGGCTGGACAGCAATGTTGCTGGTAGAATTGCTTGGTCAGAAATATCCAAGAAGAGCTGCATTGTCAGAAAAGTGTACGAGGAATGATTCCTTGAACAGGAAACAGAAAGGTATCGTGATGCCAAAAATGAAGCATAGACCGATACATTATCAGTATAAAAGGAGCAATTATGGTCAGCAATATACTTGAAGTTAGATTGCCTCATTAGCAATGGTGCATATATCAATGAATAGTGAAATACAATCATTCCGCATCGATGCTTCCTACGTATATGTAGAAAGAGCTGATCAACTTAAATATTGGGATCTTCACTTTTAGACGGTCATAACTATTTTATTCATTTTTTTGGGAAGGAGATATTCTATTCATTCTACATGGCACAAAAAACTGAAATGCCTGTAACAAACCTGATACCATTTCTGTCAGATGGTGCCAATGCGTTGCCTGCGGCGCCTCGATACCCGTCGATCGTCACCCGATAATCTACGCTTTCGTCGGCCACAGCGAAAGTCGTGTACTCGGCAAATCGTCGGACGCCTTCGTAATCCTCCATATCAATTCGAAACACCATGTTAGCAGACGCAGTCAGACGGTGAAGATAATCGTTTCCGAGCCAAAACTCGCCCTCCAGATTTCCAAAGCCTTTTTTGTATGATTCCCAGTCGACATAAAAGTCTACAGAACCATCCATGCGCCTTTGAAAGGTGGTCCATCCTCCGCCATCAGTCGTCATGTCACACAGCACTTGAAAAGGTTCTTCGTCATCAGGGTAAACCCAGTACACACCGTCGGTTTTAGAACCATTTTGATAATAGTCTAGACAGTTCTTGGGGCAATCTAGAAAATAACAAAACGCGAAAGTAGAACGCTTTGACAAAAAATATATAAAAATTGTCTGTTGTAACGATTACCAGCAAAGCGAAAACTGTATATGTCATATATTGTCCTCACATCTTTTCGAAACTCTCTTCTTTTTGAGCTAGTTTACCACAATTCTCCTAAAGTACATTACTTTATGGCTGATAAACTAGAAAATTACACCGGGTTCACTTACCTCTGATGCACTTACAGAGGGGTGTGTTGGATTTGTCGCCTGCGAAACATATTTCGTTTTTTTTGCATGGATAATCCATGCAGGTGCCCTGAAATTAGGAAAAGAAAATTGAGAAACATTTATCTTTTCAAAAGTTGATAACGAAATATTTTTTTGGTCTTGAAAGTTAAATGCCTTTATTCGATTTTACAAGCAAGGAGAAGCTCAAGACATACATGCTTTTATATTTTGTATATTAAAGAAATGAAATTTGCAACATTTAACGAACCGGGAAACAATTGAATTTCATCATGACAAGCATTTCTGGAAGTTCTCGGCCTTAGAGTATCATATGTTCTATGGACATATCGACCGACTGCAAGATCACCCCACTATCATCTTTGCTAGTTGCCCTCTGGTGTAAAACAAACGCGATCCCACATAAACCTTTTTGCCATCAAAGTTATCAACTCGTTTCCTTACTGTTGAGCGTAATCATTTTTCGTAGGCATCCTAAAATATTCCGATCAAAATGTGATTTCACCTTTA